CACAACAATCATAGTTTTATGAATAAGCATTAATAAATAAAAATATTGGAAAAAAATATATTTACAAAACTTTTTCCTCCATCACTTTCAATGTGGTTTACTACATTCAAACAATACTGTCTGGCTGGCCTATTATGCTCTCTGCTTATCATACTAAAAGGAACACATGCATCCCCCCAGAGCACTTACAGGTTCACATTCAAGACCATTCGCACCTGTCCCTGAACAATGCAACAGGCATTGGATCGTTAAATTCATGGGCTAAAGAGATACTGTTGGTCCACTGATCCCAATTAAGGTGATAAAAACCTTTGGATGATGGCAAATACATTCAGTTTCTTATTTTCATTTTCAAGACCATATCACATTACATACAATAACAGAAGGATGGCACACGGCGTGGCCAAAGTACAACCAATGTTACTCAAACAGAGGAAGAACGTTCTTTAGACAAAACACCCAGTTAACAGATGACTTTAGATGGACGGTTCAAATAATACTTTGGCTAATACCTTTCTCTGGAAGTCATTAAGCTTCATTCTGACATTCAAACTGAATATGAAACTCATGTCCCACACCATCATCATCATCGTCATCACCATCACAGAGGTTACAGATCCTCTGGTTTCTGTCCAGCCCGTCACATCTTCACTGACTTCAGGACTTCTGGTGTTATTTACTCTAAAGTTACAAACAGCCTTTTTTGTTTTCATGCCACAGATCCTTCTCCAGTTTAAACTCTTGTTTAAATATATATTATATACCACATGATGTCACACTGCTGAGCTCACTTTACCACTTTTGTATTAGCCTCTGTTCATCAGTTAGTTTGAACCAGCTGATGTTGTTACACTTTGGTGTAGTGATGGGCAAAGCAGTTCTTTAGATGTTACTGAATCACTAAAGGAACACATGCATCCCCCCAGAGCACTTACAGGTTCACATTCAAGACCATTTGCACCTGTCCCTGAACAATGCAACAGGCATCCCCCCAACAAATCCAGAACATTCAGAACCCGTTTTTCTATCTCCTAATGCTACAAACTGCTGCTTGGGCAACACTGAGAAAAATAGCTCAGGATCATTTAGAAGTTAAAAAACAAACAAAAAACTACAAAGATACAGGGAGTTTCAAATACTGCTATAGATGTTGGAGTTTCAAATACCCCATACAATTTATTCATGTGTTTAATTATGGTCTAAGCTAAACTAAGTAAAAATTTAACAGAAAAGCACATTTAGAGCTTCGTTACAATGAATCATCTAATACTTTAAATTTCTACTACATTTTTTTTCAATTTGTGACCATGTGAGAAGTGCAGTGACCTTATGTAATGTGTAAGGAAGCACAGGCTATTTTGACTACCACACTGACCCAACGTTGTAGAATTACAACATAGACATAACAAGCTATAAATCAAATTTGATGAATGTTTTCCAAAATAACTAAATATGTACATGTTCTAGACATTGTAATAAACACAAAAAAAATATTTAAGGAATTTTACTTACTTTAATCCTGACAAATCCAGTCATGCAAAAAAAGGAGATGAGCTCAACAGGAAGTTTGCAGGTAGAGTGAGTTCATGGCCAGATGACCAGACCTATAAACACTTCTTCTATCCAATAGCATTGTGAGGACAAACAATACATTAACTATGTAAATGTGGTCTTGAGAAAAAAAAAAACATTTGCAGGCCTTTTTTTAGAATTGTTTAAAGTGATGTTGTAAATTTGCAACAGTGGGTTTTACAGGGTTAACTTAGAATGAGCCCTACATATCTTCATAGGGAGTGGGTCACCATGTTGCACTGCCATGTTTCTACAGTAGCCCAGAACAGACAATCCAAACACTGGCTCTATATAGGGCTCTTGATGTTTTTTGCTAGCTGAAGGCCACTGTAGGATCTCTACACATGGGCTGAGCCAAGAGGTATTCGGTTATTTGCAATCTGCAACCCCACTGTAAAATGCCTCTAAATCTTACACACTCCGCCTTTAAGGAAATTCTCCCCACAAAATCCTTTTTAAGAGGGAGAAATACAAGTGGAAAGGCCCTCTGGAAGAGCAACAGAGGAGGGATCCCTCTTTGAGGATGAAAAGACAACAATATTTGTTTACTGCAGAAAAAAAAATCATGAGCTGCACTATGAAATTGCTTAAAATGGCTTTGAAGTGAGACTATGTCATTTCTGAAAGAAAGAATTTCACATTCTCCCTTTTACAAAAGAAAGGTTGAAATTATAAGCTATAAAAGGCACCATTGCTCAGTTCAATACACTAAAGAGTGTTGTTGCTGGAGCCTTACTTTGTCTGGTATGACCAGCACTTTATGGTAGCCACTGGTTAGATATGACTGTGTTACTGTGACAATATGGAGAGAGATTGCTGTGCAGGATTTTCCTTAAAAAACAAAAAGTAATCATTTTCAATCATCACTTATGAGCCACTACAAGTGTGTGACAGTGCATTTATCTGCAGAGACTCTGCCCTCTGCCTGTCTTATTTTCTGCTTATTTTGCCTAGTGTCGGATGTTCCTGGGCACAGGTGAGGTCCAGGTGCCAGACATGACGCAGCACACATCAAGAGGAAACTATGAAAATCACAGATACAAATATAGTGAAGCAAATGGCCAAGTGTTCAAAGCTGCTGTTTGCTGAAAATTCCTGCGTAGTATACCTTTAAACTACATTTCAGCTTATTCCCTTACACTGCAATTTAAGATCTGTAGCCAAATCTGTCATTCACAAAGTTGTCGGTTTGCTTTAAATAGCTAAATCTGTTTAAATAATCCCTTATGTGACCTCTGTGGAACAACCTGCTCTTTAATTACAAACACAACAACGTTAAAAAAAAAACCTTCAATAAATGTAAATCTGTAACAGGAAACTCAAAGCAGGCGACAAGTGAAAGCAGTAATATAACTTTAATTATTCAAGTATTTGTTTTTTAATATAAAAAACATACAATATATAACAACAACCCCTTGTGGGATAGATGCTTTCACAGTAAATATCACGTCAGCTTATAATACTACAAAACCTTTGGAAACAAAAAAAGAAAAGAAATGAAATTTGGCCATGAAAGCCACATTTTTCTGAGAAACACATTTTTTCCCATGATGTCAGTAGCAGTGCTTTAGTAATCACTGATATGCCAGATACATTTGACGATACATCCAATCTGTAATGGTCTTAGCTACAGTTAAACTCATACTTGCACGAAATGATGCTGTATTTCTCTTGATATGTGGAGGAGGCGATGAGCTGAAATAGCTGCTGACGTACAGCATACATAACCAAGGGCAGCAGCTGGAGTAATGAGGAGCTGGTAGCTGAGACACACAATTACCTCAAGTATAAAAATGTCAAAGAGCAGAAAAAACAGAATGCATCTAAAAACCAAAATATACATTTGACTTGTTCAGAGAGAAGAGGCAGTGAAGTTATAACAATATGGAAACAGAAACAGGCAAATCTGTAAAAAAAAAAAAAAAGAGCAGCCAGTGAATTCAGCTACATGGTTTCATTTTTACCAATGCAAGAGAAAAATGATTTACTGAAATATATCTCTCAACTCGGTCTGTTCAGAGACTGATAATACACTGTGGCTTATTTTCAGCTTTGTATCCGACTGTGTTCATGATAAAGAAGAAAGGGAAGAGCAGCATGAGTGTAAATGTAGTTTTACCTCGACAGACGACCTGTTTTTTTGTTAGATATATTGACTATTTGCGCTCCCACTGTTCGGGAGCTCTTCTTTCATTTGTTAATGTTACTTTTAAAATGTAGAATATTATAGATATAATGTAGTAATTTAATACTTTATTGATTCCTGCAGAGGAGTTCTCTTTTGGCTCGCTCTCCTGCAGGAAGATAAGGGTGCTAAGTCAGCAGCCATGCAGCTGGTAGAGATCAAGTGTCTTGCTCAAGGACACTTTAGCAGGGCAGAAGGTTGAGTGAGTGTGAGAGCTTGAAACAAGGTCGTCTGGTTGAAACACTCTCTCTAACCCTTAGGCCACACTACTTAATGCTTAGTGCTGATTGACTAAAAGGTCCAGTGTGTATGATTTAGGGGCATTATTGGCAAAAATGGAATATAATACAATAACTCTGTCTCCTTTAGTGTATATAATGAAAATCTAAGAAGAATAAATAAGAATTGTGTTTTTGTTACCTTTGAATGAACCATTTATTTGTGCACACGGAGCCAGTCCTCCTTCATGGAGTCCTCCACTTCCAATTGCCATGTTTCTCAGGTAGCCCAGAACAGACAACCTAATGCTGGCTCGAGATAAGGCCATTTATGTTACGTGTTTTTGCATCAGCAACTGTAGTTAAAAGCACCTCCATAATGAGCCGAACAGCATAGAAAAAGCTCTGATTTTTGATGTGAAACTGCTTTATTCCATGTTTTTACTGGTTTAAATCACCAGGTTTGTTTGATTTGGAGAGGAAGAAACCACTGTGGATAATTCAGCTCATGGTAGAAACCTCCTGAATGTCTGAATCTTAAGTTATCAAGGAAAAAAGGTGAGCGCATATCAGCAGGTGCTTAGCAGGTGATGAACCGAACAGCATCGGAAAAACACTGATTTGGAATGTGAAACTGCTTTATACAGTATTTTCATTGGTTTAAATCACCAGGTTTGTTTGTTTTGGAGAGTTAGAGACCACCGTGGATGATTCGGCTCCTGACAGAAACCTCCTGGATGACTGAATCTTAAGTTATCAGAGCAAAAAGGTGAGCGTATATTAGCAGGTGCTTAGTCTAGTGGCCTGCTTGTGATGAACAGAACAGCGTTGGAGGAACACTGATTTTTAATATGACACTGTTTTATATAGTATGTTTACTGGTTTTAATCACCTGGTGAGTTAGTTTTGTAGAGGAAGACACCTCTGCGGATAATTCTGCTCCTGGTAGAAACCTCATGAATGTCTGAATCTTAAGTTATCAGAGAGAAGCATGGGTAAAAGTTTCTCCCATCATGTCTGTTTTTATAGATCACAACTTTTGCATGGGAAGTGGCGTATGCCTCTTTCAGGCCTCATTTTGTACATGTAATGTTTATGTGCAGTGTTGATAAATGAGACCTCTGGTACATTAGTTTTGGAGAGGACAGTTTGGCTCCTGGTAAAAATGTCCTCAGCAATGAACACTGAAGAAATACTAACCAGGAGCTCACGCTTAGCACATGGGAAAAGCTTCAGTTGTTTGTAATCTGCAATCCTCACGACTAGATGCCCCTAAATCCTACACACTGATCCTTTAATACTGATTGACTTAATGCTTATGATGAAGAATATTCTGCTTAGATGTATACCTGGAATACATGAACAAAATTACTTTCAGTAACAAACACCACATTTTAATTATGCATGAGAATATGCGCTTTACAAGCCTCGTGCATTCATTAACAATCATGAGGCGTAATCAGCAGAAATAGACATAGATGGATGTTAATGAAAACGTGTCATGATGTAGAGACTTGCAGCAGCCCTCAATATTTTTACATTACTCAGTGTGATGAAGTCTGAAAAGGAGAAAAAGGCAAAAAGAAAAAGAAATAAAAAAAAGAGTTGTCCAGTGGGCCTCATGTCCTCTAACATCGCAGGTGCTTCTTGCTGGACATGTCGTTCCAAATGCGGTGCATCTCCTCAGGGGAGATCTGGTGCACGGTAATGACCCGTCTGTACCTGCACAGACTGTAGGCCATTTTCCAGTGATTAAAACCACTGTTCTGATATGGGTGTATACCCAGCTTACGCAAACACAGTCCCACATACACATCCTCCAGGTGCAACAGTCTCGTGTGCAATGAAGTCTTGAAGATTAGGTCTGCAACGTCTGCTGAGAACACATAGCCAGTGCCCGAGCAGAACGGTGGGTATTTACTGTCAGGATACAAGTCCCTAGACATGTACCACTTACTGCGCATATCCCGTATGGGACCGCCGTTTATAACATAGCCAGTAAAATATCTCCGTCTTGGCTTGGTGGTGGGCTTCAGGAGCTTGTAGATTAGATTGTCCATGTTGACAAAGATGTCGCTGTCCGTCTTCATGACATACTGTGCTTTGGGGCAGAAGGTAGCTACCCAGCGCATGCCCATCATGGTCTTGAGGGTGAGGTTGTGGTAAGAATCAATAAAGTTCTCCACCACAATGTCATGGAAGATCTGGCTCTCCTGCTCCACCATCTGGTTCAGGACGGGGTCCGTGTTCCTGCCCAGCAGAAAGATGGTGAGGATGCGGATGTCGGTGAATGTGCTCTCATCCCCCCAGGTCTCCCTGATGGCCTGCCGCGCATCAAACTCCTTGTGCGTGGTGCTGATGAGGATGACCAGGAAGGGAGCGGCACTTTCGCACTTCTTCGGCTCATTGATGACAAATTCAAAGGCATGTGGGTTAAGGGTGCGGGTGTGAATGTTGGTGAAGGTGATGTTTTTGGGGGTTTTTGCAGTCTTACGCATAGGCACAGACATGTGGCCAACATAAGTGGAGGTTGGGCGAGATATACTCAAGTACCACAGAGCGCTCGCCCAGCAGACCACTGTCAATAGGTATAAACATGACACTTTTGAAGGCATTATGCTGCATTTAGGTGTGTTTTGACCAGCTGGATCTTATAAGGCTTTCTTTCCATTAGCAATGTTTCACCCAGCAAGGCAGCATGAAGCTGCTCCAGCGTGCAGTTTGACATTAATTGTCAGTAATGGATTACTTCAGAAAGAAGTGATGCTGTTTGTGTTTTAATGCAAAGCACTTTAAAATCATATGGATGTCCAATTTCACTTGGTGACACTGCTGCTTCTCCATTTACATCTGAAAGAGACAGAGAGACAGAGCAAGAGAAATATATTAATA